CCTTGACCCGTGCCACAAAGGCCCGTGCCTATCCGAAACCAACCCGTACCGATCCGATCCACTTTTCTTATAGGGCAATCGACAATAGGGAAGCAATCTTGTTCATAATATTTACCTGTCGGATAATATTCATTAGAGTTTCCACCTGGATAAATTGAAAAATTAAATAAATCTACAATTGATAATAGGGAAGCAATCTAGTTCATAATATTTACCAAATGCAAAAATTATGACATCATGATAGAGTGTAGCTACGTGACCGCCTAAAAGTGAGAATGGTGATTTTTCAGATGTCCCATTTGTCCCATTTGGAATTATAACTGTCCACACATAATTTGTGGCATTCAGAACTGCTAGACCAGAATATGCTGATTGATTGCTACTTCCACATATGAGTATACTCTGATTATCGGGTAATAGCGTTGCTGTGTGAAAACTAATGGGAGGAATGGCATCGTTCTTCGCTGCTGTCTGCATTTTAATAGAAATTGAGTAACAGAATGCATAAAATGAATGAAATTAATTATCTATAACACGCACAATATTTGTCCATTGATTTGTATTAGTGTCATATACATCAAGCTTTAAAATATTACAAATAAATATGTTTTGATTATTAGATTGTTTATTCTTTTGTGAAAAATAAACTATGACTGGCTAAATTCTGCTTTATTTAATCAAAATTTATTTTCCATGGCAGAAGGTTTATATTGCGCGCTCTGTCACTTCTCACCTGTCCTACATTGGAACAAAAGCACCACCAATCATAATTATCCGTCCATCGTGCAATAAAGTTGCTGTATGTTGTTGGCGACCGATAGGTTGATTAAGAGTGGGATTTGAAGTCCAGATTGATTGTGTAATATCATATATATATATAGTTCCGTCACCTAGAGACAGGTTGGTTCTTAAATGTACATGTTAGTATTGCACAAAACAAAAGTTTCCTGATAAATCCTTGGGTTTTCCGGATTCATACAAGATCATTATATGAAATTGTTATAATTATTTAAATACCCGCCGGTCATTGATCTAACACCACCCAAAACATACAGTTTCTTATTATCAATTACAGAAGTGTGCCATTTTCTCGGGGATGGTGTTGAGTTCGTGTCTTGAACATAATTGGGTATTGGATCTTCTGGAAGTGAATCTGAATGAATTATATAAAGTTCATCTTCGGGTGTTTCCAAGCAACCCCACCAAAAACATATATATTATTCGCATCTGAAGCAGTACTAGCACCATCCCTCGAATCCAAATATCCTATGAGCTGATACTTAGGGAAAAGCTATAAAGTGGTTGCGTTAAGTCAATATAAAAAATATCAGCCAAATTCACCCCATCCCTAAAGTATAGATTTTACAGACGCAAGCTCGGACATTATTTGTGTTCTCGCGCCTGGATTATAAGGAATCACATTTTCAGTGCATATGAAAACAGATATTAAAAAAATATATATCAGAAACAATGATGTATGCATTTGCAAAATAAGTGTTGAGGTCACTCTTATCGTTTTTATTGAAAAAGCTAAAAGCTAGTGTATTTTAATTACAACAAGTTGCAAAATTTGTAATACAATCTTACTGTATACTTTGTATGAATATCTAGACTAGAGTTGCATGTGAAACCAGTGTTTAAAATTCAGATCGAAACCTACATGCACAAATGCAATTGTGTCATAGGTTTTAATTGCACGAACCAACTACTAGTTGCACACATGTGCATATAAATTTTCTTTTTATATGCACTTATTTATTGTCTCTGAATGATGCCAACATTATAAATTTACTATAGCAAATATATCTTATATTTTTATTTAATTTTTCAGAGTATTTTGGACATTCGAAATATCTTTATCCTATCCCATATTTTATATTTATACTAAATTTTTGAGCATAAAATTTTATAATTTCTCTTGCACATCATTTTTTGCGCGAGCTCCTTATTCAAGTTTAATTGCACGCTTGTGCATGTACATTTAGAATTTCCCTTGCACAAAAAAAAGTCTACTTGCGCACGTACACCTTGTTTTAAAACTGGGTGAAACTAATCTTCAATGGCGCACCAATTTTCACCAATCAATATTGATGAAACTGGTGATACTGGTGGTATTGGTAAAACTGGCGGTGTTGGTGAAACTAGCGAATGGTGAAGCTGGTGATATTGGTGAAACTATAATATTGGTAAAACTGGTAATATTTGAATATTACCAGTTTTACCATTATCACAGTTTCACCAGCATCACCAAAATCCCCAGTTTCACCAACACCATCAGCTTCACCAACATCACCAGTTTCACCAATACCACCATTATCACAATTTAATCAGCTTCACCAGTTGCACAAATATGGCTAATAAAGTGCCCATCAGTGCACCAGTTTTACAGTTTCACCTGCAACTCTAATCTAGACATTTCGCGCATGTTATTGGCAGGGTTGTTATGTGGTGTAGTATGCACAAGTTTAGTATAGTAGGGGAACCGTCCAGTGTTACACGATGTTCATGTATTGTCCCGTTATTAGCCGTAACCATTACTGACCGGTCAAATAATGACCGATGCCAGATTCTTTAAAAAACCATGATTTTATGGAACACCTGATAAAAATTTGCCGGCCAATTCGATAAAATCTGAGATTTTGAAATAAACCTGGTTAACAAATGACATCATTGCATGCTTTCACGTGATTGATGATCACTGCATTTTCAATACAATCTAATTCTGGTCAAATTTTAACCTATTGGAAATAGGCCAAATGATCTGTAAATTTGACCAGAATTAATTGTTTTGAAAATGTCACTAATTTTTACTAAGTAAATCTCTCCCTACTTCTAATTAAAGTTGTAAGAAATTTTGATTATGATCAGCCCAATCAGTGTTCGAAATTAGTGTTCTCAGAGTTCTCATGAGAACATGATTATAAGTTTGTGAACAGTAAAAATGTTTTACTGTTCACTATTAAAAATTTTTGAGAACTGTAAAATAAAATAGTGTTCTCATAAGTGGTAGATAGATGGGGACACTTCAAGAACACGAAACCCAGAATCATTGCCTAACCCTAACACTAACCCTAACTTAGGCTAAACACTTACCGTATAAGTGCGAAATAATGTGCAGGGTGTTATTCTGAGTAATGGCTTGAATTAAGCTTAATTTAGATCAAAATTCATAATTACACCCCTGCGTGTTATTTCGTGCTTATACAATACTCATGTGGTGCAATGACCCTAAAAATATCACCAGGTTCCTTAATTATGAAACTATCTGCTAGATGAATAAAATAATACTTAGATGATAAAAGTTATATTATTAGGTAGTTAGTATGTAGTTTTTTTTTTTTTTTAGTGAGCATAAGTAAGAACATAAACAGCAAATTGAGAACACTTATAGTTATTATACTGTTCTCATGAGAACAGTAATTAAACCTGAAATTTTGAACACTGAGCCCAATGTATTATGAGGTCTTAAATAAATAAAAAAGAAAATGTATAGTCATGAGAATTAATCTCATTATCCACTAGGTCAATATTGATTTTTTAACCATAATTATAGCTAAAATTTCTTCCTCTACAACTTTATTAGAAGTATAAGAAGGGTCTACAAAGCAAAAATCTAAATAATAATCGATACCAGTCATTTAACCTTATATAACTGACCGCCCGTTAGTCCAAGATCATGCGATTTTCTTTTAGACAGAAAGTTTATTTATATAGCAATACTGTAAACCATATGCTAACTAGGGTTCTGCAAGTGTCAGTACAGATTATAAAATAATGTCTAGGCACATGTCTAGTGCTATTAATGAAACTAAAAGAAACTTCAGACAAGAGCTCACATGACATAATGTATGATCATGTATATATTAAGTTTGTTTGATAATAACATGTGTTAATGTTAAATTGTTAATAGTAGATTATGTTAACAGAGTATTTAATGCATTCTATGGTATAAAATATATCCCAATAGCTTTTACAATATGACTAATCAATTATTGTTTAATTCCCAGTTGTTGTAGTATACTTTATAACAAAATACAGTGTTAAAGCTTGCATAATAATAATATTCGAACTTTAAGAATTGTAATTTTTGCTGGTCTAAACTTTTGCCAAGTCTTATGGATGGAAAATAGTTTGTGAAGTAAAAATTTAAAATGCATTGGTAGTAAAAATTATGATAGTACTGCATTCATGATTTATTTTTATAGTTATCCTTACAGTAAAATACCTAATTACTATATTAAGATTGAGCAAATTACTTAAAAAGCCTGAAGCTTAGAATAGTTTATTCAAATATTGATTATTTTACTAATATTGATATTATTATTCTGGTTAGTGAGCTTGGAATAGAGTTAACAAAGTAGCAAATAATATTATCTAAAACAAAAAGTTTAAAGCATATTTTACCTTGACTTATGTTCAATAATTAGTAGTGCTAGTTTACTTTTGATATTTCTCGACTAATTATATATAATAATTACAATGCTGATTGAATAACTAGAGTCCTTATAATTTTGGCTCTTATCTTATAATTTTAAATGTATTCTTTTTATCAAAAATCATGAATTATAAAAAAAAATCTTATACATATCTATATTCACATATTATCATAAACTAATTCTATCCATATTCGTGTGCTTAATTAAACTTTAAAATTAAATCATAATTTTTTTTAGCAGTTTCTCCACAAGTAATATCCAACACAGTAACAGTTCGATAGAGACAAATACACTATTAAATGGCCACAAGATCAGAGTCTAATCTCATACCTGTAATTATCTTACAGAATCCCTACTACTTTGCACTAGGCATATTACCAAAAGCCACATGCTTTGAAATAATCATCCAGAAAAAGCTTTTATCTTGACATGGGCAGACTAGTGTTTACAAAAAAAAAATCTTATATATATCCATATTCATGTATTATCATAACTAATTTTATCCATATTTATATGCTTAATTAAACTTTAAAATTAAATTATAATTTTTTTATGCAATATTTGAAACATTTAAAAATATATAATCATATGCTAAATAATGTTCAACACAGTAACAGTTTGATAGGGGGCAAACATACATATTAAATGTCTATGAGATTAGAGTCCGGTCTTGTACTCTGTAATTATTTCACAGGATTCTACTATTTTACACCAGACATATTACTAAAGGCTACATACCTTCAAAATAATTATCCAGAAAAAGCTTCCACCTTGACACAACAGACTAGTGTTCATGAAAATAAGCACTGAAAATAACAAAATGTCAAAACCAGGTTTACCAATGTGAAGCAACAAGATTGAAAAGTTCTCATCACCAAACGCTTCTCTCTTGTTTGAATGAATTTGTATTAATAAATCATTGTTATTTAAGCCCATGTTTCAAAAATTTGAAATCACTATATGATTAAATTTAAATAAAACTAATTTAGTTTCAAATTGATTAATGCTAAGAAAGTGAAATACTTCTTTTAAGTTCTTGGTAATGTTATTATTTTGTGAATATTTAAATCTTTTAAATTCACTATTGTCTACAAAACCATTAGACAAAAAAGCACTATATCTTCCTGAGTCTTAAAGTGATAAACACTCAACTAAGTCTAACCAGCAATATGACAAATATTTAACATTGAACACCAAAGAGTTCTAGAATAATTTCTGTTAAAAGAATTTTTTTTTCTTTAAACACCTTCTTCAATTCAATCTTGCTATTAGTTATCAATAAATAACAAATCGCACCTTTAAATACTAAAAAAAATATTGTATACTTCAAAAAAAAAAAAGAAATTATTCATATTAACAATACAAAATTACTCCTGCATATCCTTAAACATAAAGTGTTGATTTTTGACAAATTCATTTAAATATTTGGTTATATAAATAGATGGCAGATTATTTTGGATCAGGAACTTCTAAGTTATATTATGGAAAAAATCAGAAACATTATGCTTGTCTCATATAGTATACATACTGCTTCATATAGTGGGCTTTAAGAGTAGAGGATACTATTTGCAAATTATATATAAAACTAATGGTACCTTTTTTTTCTTTTTAAAATTAAAGAAAATTTTATTAAGTAAACTATTATTAAATTTTTAATAAAAGATGTAGAACAGTTTTTCTGATTCTAACAGTAGTAAAATCATTAAAATTAGTTAGATATTTATTGAGATATATGTATTTAAATGTTTAGTATTATAAATTATTTATAAAAATCATATGATGATCATATGACATAAGCCAATCAAAATCAACGATTTTGTGTAACCTGGAGAATTTGAACTGACTACAGAAAACTTACAATATATATAAATATATTTTTTTTTAAATATTTGATTTATTAAAAACTTTACTATTATAAAGAATAGATATTAATCTATATAATATAAAAATTTTACAAAAATTAATTAAATAGTAAAAAGTTTTATTAGTAGCATATTTTATTTTTTATAAAAATTACGTTGTACCACAAAAATTATATGATAAATGATCTACGTATTCTCTACCCTTAACTCTATTAAAAAAAATAGCTAGTTTTTATAAAGTATACCAGGCCAAAACTGAAATAAAAAAAATCTACTTTATCATTTATTTAAACACATCTTCAGATACTAAAATAAACATAGATTATAGAATACATTCATAGAATATTTATGAAATACAAATAATGAACTTATTAATGAAATATAATCAATAAATAATATAGATCAAATTTAAAATAAACTACTGACAAGAAATAATTATATAAGAACACTCCAGATGACCAACTGAAGAACATCCAAAACATAATAAATAAACTATAACAGACTCTAAATGGTAGATACCCAATACATAATTAAAGAACTAAAAAAAAACCAAAAAATAATTAAGAAACAAATTAAACAAATTCAAAAAAAGGAACCCAGAATTATAGCCCTAAAAGAAAAAAAACTTAAATTAATAAACTCTTGGATACAACTCAGCCCAAACCTTACAAATAACTTGATATTAAGTAATCTAAGAAATAAGTTGAATAACCAAGACTTATATGACATCTTGCCAGAAGTTGATAAAACATTTAGAGCTTAATGAATTACAAATTCAACTTAAACAAATCTAGAAAAATATAAAAGAAGAAATTACTAAACAAGAATATGAAACTTTACAAAAAATAAATAGGAAGAAATTAATTGCTAGATTAATAATGAACTACAATATCTAGAAAAAATAACTGAACAAACTATTGTTAACCTAAAGAATAAAATAAATAATAAAAACTTTTATGACTTCTTATCAAAAAGACCACCAGGAGTCTAATAGAACTCCAAAGATCTCTGATACAACTTATATCTAAGTTTGTATAATGTTTATATAAATTTGGCCAAATAGATGTATAAAATAGAGCAAAATCTAAAAAATTTACTATATAAAAAAGCAATATTTGATGATTTTCTATACAAAATTTCTTTTTTTTGGTAACATATACTAATGAACTGAAAACCTGAACAAGAATTGAATTCAAAAAATTACAATATAACATATATTAACAGATTAGAAACAACAACCTTATCTTATACTGAAGAATGAAAAAAAATCAAAACTAGTTTACTTTTTAAAGAATTAAATAAACCAGAAAAAAAAAAGATTTAGAAAACTTTAATTAATACTTAATTACTCTAGAACTATTAGCACTTGTAAACCAAAAATCAGAAGATTATGAATATAGATATTAGATACACAATTTATTAAAGAAACAACTAAGAAGTAATTTAGATCTAGAATACAACTGGAACTTAATATCTTTTAGAACCATTTGACACCTAACCCCAGAAAAGACTATACCTGTCAAAGAAGAAATAAACCAAAAATTACTAAAGTTAAAAAAAAAATTATCCAGAACAATTAAAAAGACTCTACAAAAAGAATATTGATAATCAAGAACAATTAAGACAAATAAGAGAAAAAGAAAAAGAAGTCAAAAAAAATCCTAAATTAAGATATTATTATACTGAATAACTATGATTTTGAAATAACTAAAAGCAAACTTGAAATATTAATTAATAAAGTAATCAAAAAACTTGAAGATAAATTCTTAATTAGTAGAAATAAGAAAACAAAAATTCTAGCAAAAATAAATAATATAAAATCAGAAAACCAACTTTTAAAGAAGAATAAAAACTAATAGCAAGATATATAGAAGAAATAATTTTTAAAGAACAACAAGACACTATTGTTAACCAGTTTAAAGAATTACTCTATAAAGATATATTATATTATTGTATCAACTGCTACCAAGGCTGAAATACAATAGACTAACACATACTTGTAATAAGAAACCAGGAAAATAGTTAAAAGAATTATACATAATAACAATAAAAGAATTTAAAAAATTATCAGATAAAAAGAATTTTATAATTATATCAAGAAGAATAAAAGAAATACTAAATAAAATAGAACAACAAGTAATTAAATTAAAAACCTAACTTATATTGAAGAAAAAAAAAGAATCGTCCAAGGAATAAATAAATTAACAATAACCAACCTCAGATCTAAAAGAACAAATTAAAAAAAAATTAAAATAAATAACCAAGAAAAATCTAATAGATGGATTGAAAAGAGACCAAACTATTGTAAATAGTGTGAAAAATATGTGAAAAAACCCGAAAAACATAATTGCTAAACTAACAATTGGACAAAAGATCAAGAAACACTTTTAGCAATATACTGAACTGGAATCAAGAACTTAAAAAAGTACAAATTGCAATTATTTTAAAAAATAAAAACAAGCCTAACTATTGTGAAAAGTGCAATAAGTATATTAAAAACTAGAAGAACACCTTATTTGATTCCACTATATGGATAAAGAATTAGAAGAAGCAAGTAACAAACAAACTATAAGATACAACAAAAAAAAAGGAATCAAAGAAATTTCAAAAGAAGAATTTTAAAAAAATATTAGCAATTTCAAATCACCTAATCTAATGTTATAAGAACAGTTAGCACTAGACCAAATAACACTAATTGTCAAAAGAATAACAAAAGCATTTAATAAATATATTGAAAAAGACTATAATAAAGAATGAGAAGAAATTTAACAAAAACAAAGTACTAAAGAATTTATTTGTGAAATTTGCCACCTAAAAGAATATATAAATAGATATTGTCTAAACCAGGAATGCTTTACATACAACCAAAGTAAATACCAATCAAGAGATTGTCTGAACAAATACAAATCAAACCAATTAAACAATAATCCAAGAAGATCTTATAGTGATCTGAATAGATTAAAAGAAAACCAAAATTGGGAATAGAATGAAAATCTAAACAACCAAAACTGGAAGAACCAACTAGGATCATCACAAAGAATAATTATATACAGATTTTGTAGAGAAAACTATAAGAATGAAAATTGTAAAATTTATAGAATACTCAAAGAAAATAGAAACTTACTATGTAGATACAATGCAAATGATATTTTATTAGAAAGACAAAAACATGTTGAATAGGCTGCATATTTACAAAGCAGAGATTATCACCACTGCTACAACTGCAAGAAACCTATAGCATTAGTAAATCTATATTATATACAAGAATTATACAAATCACCAAGAAACTTTGAACTAATATTTTTACTAGAACAAATAAACTATAATGGATATTATCAAGAATATTTAGAAGAACTGGATATTAAAGATAAATAAGCTCAGAAATACTATAATACAATAGGTTAAAGAAGACTGTAAATTGTTACTTATATAGAAAACAAGAATTCAAAAAGAAATTTGAAAGCTGGCAAATACAATTCTTCTGCAGCAAAGAAGAAAAGTTCGCAAATCTCATTTATCAACTTGAAGAACCAATTACAGATGATAAAAAATAATGAAGAAAATTTATAGCTATTTACAAAACCAAACAAATATCTATTACAGTCCAGGATATTTTCATATTTGGTAAATCGTATTGTAGATTATTCCAAACCGAAATCCATTACACAACACATGATCTAGAAATTTGATCGCCAATTTCTTATTAAATTTTTGAATGTTTTTACGAGTTTCATATGATAAGTTTATATGATCTGTCTCTGTAACATGATGAACTCTAATGAAACTAAGAAGTTCCAAGCAAGTAATTTCATAATCAGTTGAACCTTTCCATAATCAACTTGGTTTTAAAGTTTATAAGTGTAGCAAGACAGGTTTTATTGGGTTATTAAAAAGTATAAAACATACTGTATTAAAACTTCTTTTTTTTTCTTTTAACTGTTAGAAATTTGTTAAAAAGCAAATAAGCGCTCTGATCTTTACTGTGTTAATACCAGTCTTCTACTTTCTTACTATTCTGATAACATACAACCGCATTATTATTACTAGTATTACATAGTTCCTTGCTAACTTAGA